TGTATTTTTCTATATTTTTAGATTCTGAAATTTAAAGAGAGGGGGAAACCACTCCTACAAAACGAGGGTGGTGGTGCAGGACACACAGGACTGTGGTGAGGGTGAGGGGCAGGCAGGAACTCAGAGAGGGCTGTTTCCATGTGAGTGTGTCAGCTACAGGTGTGCAAATCCCTGACTCCCTGAGATGCAGTCCTTCAGGACAAACAACTCATGTGGCTACCTGTGGGTGAAGTGAAGGGATAAAAGTTAGCCGATGGACCATGAAAACGTTTCTTTTTTAAAGATTCTGTGCAGAGACATGCTGTCATCTGCCCAGGCCCAGCCCAGAGCCTGACCTTGGTCCCGTGGGCTGGACCCCATGGACCTCCAGCTGCCTCGGCTCATGCACGGATCTCACTTGTCCCTAAACACGGGGTCAGGGAGGCAGATGTTCTTCTACAGCATTAGGCTCGTCGGGGGCCTCCTGGAGATGCTTCCCATGTGCCTCTTGATGCACAACCTCAGCCCACAGTTACTGCTGCCTTGGAGTCTGAGGAGTCCCCAGGCAGCCAATCCCAGGCCCACATCCACAGCCGTCCGTGCACACACCATGGGGCCTCTCCACGCATGCCCAGCCTAGGGTGTGCCCATGTGGCCCTGGGTGCTTGTGTCCATACACTCCCCCTACTTGAGGGTCTCTGAATAAGCCCACGAGAAAAGGAGCCTGCTCCTCTCCCAGTTTATCATAAGAGGAATCCCTGCCATCGACTGAGAAGTTGGAAAGCTTGACTCTCCCGCTCACAACCCCCTGTGCAGGCCTGGCCCCTCTGGATACCCCAGCCCCCCAGCCTTGCCTTCCACAGAGGAGCGGATAGACCCCTCAGGCTGAGGAGTCAAAGATGAGAGAAGATTCATCAGACTCGAGTCCTAGGAACCAGAGCTAGACAAAAGGAAATGGCTCCCCCAGGGTGAGACTCTACTGGCCACAGTCCACTGGAGAAGGAAGGGGGAGGTTTTCTTTCTGCTGAAGCTTTTCTGTCAAGTCTCAACCTTCACCCAACGCCACCAGGGATAGGGTCTCACTGCCTGGTCCCCCTCTGTGCACAGAGGCCAGGAGAGCCCTGCTGGGGGCCCCACAGTCACTCAGGGCCATGAGGCAGCTTCAAGGCCCAGCCAGAGGCTTCCCTCTCATGAGTCCCCACCTTGGCCAGCTCCAGGAGATCTGGAGGCTGAGGATAGTAGGACAAAGTCACAGCAGGGGCCCAGACCCTCGTCACCCACACCCCAACCCAGCTTCTGAAGAGTGGAGTTCCTCTCTCCAGTCCCTTCTCTTCCCAGCCCTGGTCTCTGAAGTCTTAAGGGGAAATCCCAGATGCCTCTCTTCGGGGATCCGTGAGCCGAGGACTCCCTCTTCTGGTGAAGTGTGAGGAGGAAACAGCCACGCGGCCTGGAAGGCTGGGACTCTGAGTCAGTTGTTCAAGGGACGGTATTCCCCTCACCTGCCCAGTCCACCTGCTGGGCACCCAGGGACTCCTCCAGGACTTGACCAGCACAGAATCCTGGATGCCCCTTTTTTCTTTCCTAGCAAATAAGCACGGAGCAGCTTGGCCTCCTCCCAGGCTCAATGAATTCACCGTCCTACGTGGACCACCAAGGGTTCCCTGCCCCAGAGGACAAGGTGAGGGTGACCATGTTAGGCCCCGGGAGAAACTCGCTCTGCTTACAGATTGGTCGAGAGACAACTGTGGTAATTCTGACAAGTGTAATGGAATGTTACAAAGGGATTCTTGTTGCCTCTATGTCCACTGTGACCCCAGAAGCTGAGAATAAGCAGTAGACACCAACCACCTGCTCCCCATGAAGTGGAGGTGCTGGGCCACATGGGCAGCTTAGATCAGGCAGGGGTCCAGAAGTTCGTCTCACAAACTCACCCACTGGGACAGGGTGCTTTGTCCTCTCTTAAGCTAAGTGTTAGGATTTGGATCCAAAGTGTCACCCAAAAGCTCCTGTGTTAATAATGGAATGTTCTGAGGTAAAATGACTAGCTTAGGAGAGTTGTGGCCTAATCAGTGATTAAGTAAGTGGATTAATCCACTTAATGGATTAATAATTGAAAAGAACAACTGTCCTGGGTGTTAACTGTTGGCAAGTGGGGTGTGGCTGGAGGAAGTAGGTCACTGGGGACCTGCTTTGGGGGTTTATATTTTGTTCTGGGAGCCTCCATCTCTCTTTCTCTCTGCTTTCTGGCTACCAGGAGCTGAATAGCTTTCCACCACCACACCTTTCCACCATGATGTTCTGTTTCACTCAGGCCCAGAGTGATGGAGTCTGTCAGCCATGGACTGAACTTCTGAAACCATGAGCTCACATGACTTTTGCTCCTCTAAGTTGTTCTTGTCTGTTCACAGCAATGAAAAACTACTGACACACAAGTCAGGGTTTCCAGGGACCATATATGCATCACCTCATTCCATGTGTTTCCAACTAACCCCCAGGCAGGGCTCACACATCCTACACCCTATGGTCCACCAGGACTTCCAGACCCAAGTTCCCCAGCTTGCTTCAGAGCAGCTTCATGAGGGGAACACCTTTACCCCAATCCTCACGTGGGGTTTGAGGGAGTGAAAAGCAACCTGACCATGGAATAGAGCATAGTTGCATTTGGGGGCATTTACAAAATATTTGATCAAATGAAAATTAACTGGTGCCACCACCTGTATTCTCCTGTCCCATCATACTCTCAGTCCCCCCAAGACTGTAATGGTTCCAGAGTGGGAGAGAACAAGTGTTTACCAATACCAATTCTCTCCATCTTCCTTCCTAGTGTTCAAAAAGCCTCAAGTTTAGTGGGCCTGAGTAAAGACTACATGTCCCAGCTTCCTTTGCAGTTAGGTGAGACCATGTGACCAAGTGCTGACCAATGGGTGGTGAACTTAAAGGTCAGCTACCTTCCTGCCACTCCCTCCTGGGCATGAGTGTTGAGGGTGGTGAGGCAGCTTGAATCCCTACCCCAGGGCAATGGTTCTCAACCTCATCAGGACATTAAGTCACCTGGGGAAGGGCTAGAAAGTCCTGAACCTTTCAGGTTTCCCCGGTGGATTCTAATATCCACACAAGATGGAGAAACATCATACTCCATGCCTGTGACGTGGATCTGGGCAGAGCAATAAACTAAAAAAAATAGTGGCCCCTGCATTTCCTATCTTCCTTGGACTTTCCTCCCATAGGACTACTCTCCTGTCTTTGGGTAACTATGTAACAGAGGCAGAAGATCCTATTTGAGCCACTTCCTTCTGATGTCTATTACTGAACTTCAGCCTGGACTTTACCTTATCCAACCAGTAGACCCTGGAGCCTTCTGTCATTGATTCTGGGGATCCAGGAAAGGTTAGTTCTCTTTAGCATCTTGGGGTCTTAGAGGAAAGGCCCATAAACACTAGTATCCAAATCCAGAGTTGAGATTGTCATTATTCTTGACATATTGACTGGTAGTAACTAAAGGTAGGAACTGGCCTCATCTTTAACCTCATTTTGAATCAGTTTTACAAATAAAGGAATCAAATTAACCAACCCATGCCCCGTTCAGGAAAGACCAGACTATTTTATTTATTTCCTGGAAGAAAAGTTTCCTTTGCCCTCGGTGAGTGACTTCTGTGTGTGCTCCGTGGAGTAGATTTGCTAGAATCTAAACTGAGCAACGCTCTTAAGCTCTTGAAGTATTCACACATCTGTGGTTGCCCTGTGGAGAGAGGATTCAGCAGTCCCAGTATTTATGGCCTAAATAAGATAAGCTGTCAGAGGTTAAAAGCAAGTTGGGGGTTCTTATCTACTAACTGAATTCTGATACAGTTGAGGGCCAAAGGGGAGGAACATAATGAGTGATTTTGCAAACAAATGGAATTTTGCTCTCCTTCAAGGACTTTCCATGCAACTTTGAAGAATTGTTTTATTAACCATGTATCTCTTAATCTCAACCCACTGTCCAACCCAATTTGATCCCAGCAGGACTCTTTGGGGCAATGCTTCAGAATGGGGTTGGAAACCAAAGACAATATAATCCGTAACCTCCAGTTTATGTTTCTTAACAGTGACACCGTCTTGGACTGATAATCTTTTGTTGTGGGGTTTCTGGGCATTTGTAGGATGTTTAGCAGCATCCCTGGCCTTTACCCACTAGATACCAGATGCTACTCCCACTCCCCACCCAAGTCTTGACAACCAAAAATATCTCCAGACACTGTGCCGTGTCCCCTGGGGAGAAAAATCGACCCGGTTGAGAACCATCCAAATCCATGGGGCTATGAGTCCTACTCACAGTGACATCCCTAAGCATAGCACAGTGCTGGGCACACAGTAGGAGCTCAACTAATCACTACTTATTGGATGAGTACTTGGGGGGAGAGATGGGAAGTGCACACCAAGTCTGCACCTCCGGAACGGCTGCCTGCTGTTCACCTGGTGCAGTGGGGGTGAAGAGGAGCAGTCTGACCACCTCCTGCAGACAGCAGGTGAACAGATGGCCTCATTGGTGCAGAGTGGGACCCACAGCATATGTCCTTGCTGGGGCAGTTTCCCATGAGCACTCCCATGCAGTGACCATGCACAGTGGTTGTACCAAGTCAGGATCTCTAGGACTCCTCTGACGATGACTCTAACTCAAGGGTGAACTAGGGCTGGCCTGGCCATTTGCACTGCCATCTGAGACTCTCCCTCTCCCCACCTCCTTCCCCACAGGTCAGACCTGCATCACCAAATCCCATTTTGGTGTCAGCTTCTTGGAGGATCTGGAACTCCAGGAGAGTGTCTTTCCTCATCCACCCCCCACTTCCTGCAGGATGCCACTCTCTGGGGCACCCCGACTCCTGAAGTGCAGTTACTAAAAGCATCATGCTCAAACCAGTTTGGACAGGGAGGGAGCTCTCGGAAGGAACTCAGTGTCCCTTTGTTGACAAGACTCAGGAAGACATGAGCTCACCTTACAAATAATAGGTCACGAATAACTAGTTAAGCCAGGCACATGCTAACATTTTGATCCAAGAAAATCTTCCAAATTCTCCTTTTATTGGTTTTAAGGCAGCAAGGGACATCCTCTGGCCCACATGCCTTTCTGGCCAAGCAAAGGGAAGTCAGGGCAAGGGAGGGGGTTGGCCATCGGGAGCCGGCCAGAGCACTCTCCCCTACACTCCACCTCCTCTGGACTCTTCGGCCCTCACATACCATCCTAATGCACTTTGGTTTGAGAGCAAGCGTGCCCCGTGGCCCTGTCCAGCAGGGTCTGCCACGAGCATCTTCAGGGAGCCCGGCCCGGCTCAGCCTGCCTTCCCCTCAGCCAGGCTCTCCCAGGGGCAGATGACCTCCTTTTCTGTGGCCCGGTCACCAGCCTCTCCAGTGTCATCCGAGTCCATCAGGCAGGCTCCACTCTCTATGGGCACATCCATTTTGATCTGGAAGAAGCTTCAGGCACAAAAGAAAAGCCGTGATCAAAGGGCAGAAGGGCAACTCACCCTCAAGTTCCCGAGGGGCCCGGAGAGGATCAGCCTGGGGGGCGTTTCCCAAACTTCACATGCACAGCATTGGCCAGGGATCCCTTGGTTGGGGATTCCTGCTTTGCTGCTGAATTAAAGGTAATTCTGAACATGTTCGATTTTCTTTTTCAAGGGGCTTGAATTTGCATGGTTTTGATGAGTTCAGGATGTTCCTGTAGGACACACCAGTACTTAATTCTCAACCTTTTTAAATTGCTTTCTGAGGACATGATGATCCCTGAGAAGAGAGCATTTTCAAAGCCTCCGGTCCACGTGTGAGGCATGACAGTGGCTGTAAGAGAGGACATTCCCTCAGCAGGGCCAGCTGGGAAGACTCAGCAGACACGCTGGATCCCGATCCCCTCCCAAGGCCACGGAGCCACCTTGCCTCCTGCTTCCCCAAGAGACAAGGCAGGAGAGGGTAACAACCTCCACTCCCTGCTGTCCCCCATGACATTGCCCTGCCCAGGCCACATGTCTCAGTCTCTGTGGAACCTAAGACCTCTGCCTATCACTTCCTTCACCAAACCCAGGCAGAACCAAGCACAGAGCACGTTGATCAGGACTGGGGTGCCTGCCCCTGGCCACTCCCAAGCCCAACGGGGACAGGGCTGATTCTTGACTTTTTCCATTCTTTGCTTTCTGCCCCTGGTTCAGGCATCTCCTCTGAGCTGTGGTTTTACATCAGGGGACATCAGGCTTGCGGGACCACCCAAAATGGAGTTTAGAGGGGCCACTGCTCAGGAGAACACAGGGCACCTTGATTTCACAGAAACCACTGCCTGCTGGGGCCAGGGTCCTGCAAGCCTGTCAAGAGAGTGTGCAGGTGGGTGCAGGAATGATGTGGGCGGGGGTCCTTGGGGCGGGGAGATGAGGGCACCTAAAGCAGGGGAGGGCGGGGACCCTGGAGTCATTTCCCAGGGTCCACCGCCTGTGGTTCTCACTGCAGCCAGATCTTTCCTGCCCTTTCCTAATGCAGTGCACATACTGGCCAACACGCTTGGATGGGCCGCTGGGCGGAAGTGCATGAATGGGAAAGAAGAGGAGAAGGATGCCTGTCTCTTGGCCTCAGGAAAAGGAGGAAGAGCAAGACTGAGACTTTCCGGTGGCCCAGGGACATGAGCAGCCTACTCATGGTGTCTGCTTTGGAGGACCCTCCTCACTACCCACCCCATCAACCCCAGACCACATTCATGGCTCGGAGCCTTGTCCACACCACAGCCCCCCGGTGCCGGCGCCAGGCACGAGCCCCTCCGCTTACTTTGTTACTCTCTTGGGTTTCAGCCGCGGCAGCTGGCCCACATCCCCCAGGGGCTGCACCTTTCCGTGGGACACCGCAGGGCACTTGGGTGGGAGCCTGGCAAAGACGGGCGAGGCCAGGCAGCCCCATCTCAGGAAGCTGCTGAAGGACAGGGCCGCGCGGGCCTTGGGCAGGGCCCTGGGCTGGCTGCGGGGCCTGGGGCCGTCAAGGGAGGCCTCGCTGCTCTCGGCCATGAGGGCCCTGCGCTGCACACTTGACCAGCTGGGCTCCCCCTTGGGCTCCAAGCCTGAGGAGCCCTCCAAGGCCACTTGAATGGGCGAGGGGCAGATGGTGCTGCTGGGCCTCCTGATGAAGCGGCTGGGCGAGGGGAAGGGCCTCCTGGGGGAGCGGCAGGAGGAGGAGAAGGGGCTGGAAGGAGAGGGGGGCACGCAGGTCCCAGTGTACACAGCCAGGTGGGGGCTGGGAGCCATGTGCTGGCCTGGCTGTAGAGGAGAGAAGGACAGGTTTCAGCGGTGAGTCGTGTGACCCGTCACCAGGGCCCTGAGCGGCCCTGTGCTGACTCAGCCCACTTCCAGTGGCAAGACGCAGGCCTGGTGTGGCTGCCTCCTGAGGAGTTGGGGAGTCACCTCTGTCACCCAGAGGTATAGCCATATAAAGTCCTCCTGCCCACCCGGGGATCTGTCCCCAGGGCCAGACAGTTGTATCCCAACCCCACCTTCCTCCAGGCTCAGGATGCGGGAGTTCAGCCAGGCTGAGGTCTCCCTCACCCTCAGCTCCAGCCTCCAAATGAGCAAGGCCTCCCGTCCGCCGTTTCCCACGTCACAAGTCTCCATCGCTGCACCGCACTTAACGCTTGAACAGAGCAGCGGAGGTGGCAGAAGTCATCCTGGAGCATGCCTCGCTGCCCCCTCCAGGCCAGAGCCTGCCAAGTCCACCCTGGCAGTGCCCTGGGGGTGGCCCAGCCCCAGCATCTCCCCTGGTTTCCCCTGAGAAGGGTACAGAGGCTGAGCCTAGAGCCTGGGTGTTCCAGCAAGGAAGCTGGCGACGTGGGGCAGGAGGTGATCTGAGGAGAAAGGGCGGCCGTCAGCCTCCCTGGGCCATGTGTTCCCAGCGCCCCGAGGGCTGGGCAGGAGGGACAGATCTGGTGCATCTGCAGCTTGAGGAGCCTGAAGGAGCTTCACCCAAACCGACAGAAGGAAACTGAAATCGGGATTTCCAGTGGGGCTCTTCACCACGACCTCCCTTCCCCTCGCAGGACACACGGGTCTGTGGCCTGGGCCTGCTGGACTCCTCCTGAGGGCACCACATCAAAGCCCAGCAGGACAGAAGTCCTGGGGCGGGTGGGCCTGTGGGACAGTTGGACCAATGCCACCCCCAAGAGAGAACCGGAAATGACTCTGGTGAAGAACAGACTGAAATGGCCTCACGATGTCCTCAGAGGGCCCCGCTGTCCCTGGCCCAGGACTTCCCTGTGGCTGAAGGAGGCTGCCTCTGGCCTCCGCAGAGCAAGGCCTAGTTTCCAGGCCCCTGAGCAGGCCAGGCCCAACCCTAAGAGGGCAGGGCAGGTGCACCCAGAACAGCTCCTGAAGGAAGATGGCAGCCAGGGGCCACTGGGCGCTCAGAGCCTGGGCTGAGAGGGCGGCTCTCCATTCTCCTGCACCAGTTCCCTCAGGTTCAGAGAAGACCCCGTTCTGAAGGGCAGCTGGGTCTGCTGCTCCACCCCCCCGCCCCCAGACTCCAGAGCCAAGGCCCAGGCCAGGGGCCACTGATAACGGTCATCGTCATTGTAGAGGGCAGTAGGACCTTAGCAAATGTGGCCCTGGGCTGAGTGTGGATGATCTGTTGACTCCCCAGAACCTCTGCGTGAAGCAACTATTATTACCCCATTGTACAGACGAGGAAACACCTGCTTCAAGAAGCCAAGGAAAGAGACCTTAGAAGGAGAAGAAGCAGCCGAGGGACTGTGGGGACAGCAGGGCAGAGCCGCCTCCTCACCATCACCCAAGGCCACTTTTTACAAACACAGACCCTGGCCCCAGCCAGCCCCGCAGAAGGCGCTGCTCTGGGGAAGCATATTCTACCCTTTACCCAGGTTTACCCATCTACTTGACACGCTGGCTCCTCTATGACTCTATGATCACCCCACTTTAGAGAATAGGACATTGAGACCCAGAGGGGTTCATGGCTCTCCCCAGGCTCTTATGACTAGTAAGTAACTGTGGCATGTAGAGTTCTAAGATGGTGCCCGGGGTTCCCATCCCTGCCCTGTAGTGTGCATGTGAACCATGAGTGCCATGGATTGGTGACTCTTAGGCCAGGCGGCGTGAGAGGGCACAGCTGACTTTTACAAAGGGAGAGTAGCCAGTGAACTTGACCTCATCACAGGAACCCTTTAAACCTGAGTCTAGGGGCAGAATCAGAGACTCAAAATATGATAGGGGTTCAAGGTGGGCGAACTTGTCTGTTGCTGGTTTTGAAGATGGAGGGCCTCAGGTCAAAGAAAGTGGGCAGTTTCCAGAGCCAAGAGCAAGGACACGAGGCCTGCAGTCTCGAGGACCTGAATCCTGCCAACAACCTGAATGAGCTAGAAAGAGGATTCTGCCCAGAGCCTCCAGATAAGAGCTGCTCAGCCTGCATGTGAGCCCTGAGCAGGGAACTCGGCTGTCGGTTCCGTCTGAAGGTTTCCTGTCCTGCCCAAATTCATGTTGGGGGATGGGCTTTGGGAGGAGGTGATCAGGAATGGAATTAGTGTCCTTATAAAAAGAGACCCAAGAGCACTAGCCCAGCTCTTCCACCACATGAGGACACAGTGGGAAGGCGTCTAAGAACCAGAGAGCGGGCCTTGGACTCTGAACCCACTGGTACTTTGGTTGTGGACTCCCCAACCTTCAGAACTGTGAGAAGTTTCTGTTGGTTTTGAGCCACCCAGTTTACGTATTTTGTTATAGCAGCCAAAATGGACCAAGGTGGACAACTGCTTGTTGTCCGTGGTCACTGGTCACACAGCAACAGAGCACCAAAGCCATGACTTGGTGAGCAGCTGAACCAAAGCCTGTGTGACCCAAATGCCCTGCTGTTTCTACCACCCCCGTGTGGCCATTCCACTGTCTGCTGAGTTCAGATAGGACTTGGGGTCCTAGAGAGTGGGGTAAAAATACTCTAACTAGGAAATCGGCCTTGTGAAGAGGGATACAGAGGTATCAAAGCGGCACTTCCTGGGCTCATGAACTTGAATCCCACTCCTTTAGAATTCGTGATAAACTCCTGCTCTAATTCCACCTTACAGATAGGAAAACTGAGGCTCATGGAGATGATGCAACTTGACCAACATCAAAGCTTTCCATGGGATCAGCCTCTGCACATACCCTCCCCCAGTTCTGTGCTCACTCCCACCTTCCTACTCCCTCTGTCTCTCTTCCCTCCACCCCACTCTTCTCCAGCACCTCCTGATTTCCAGAATGAATGACAAGACAGGGAAGAATGATGGCCACTATCTTTTTGCACTTACCGACTTGAGATGGTCCTTTCTTCTGGGCCAATGGCCATTAGCCTGGTGGGTCCACATCACTTTAAGCGGGCTGCTTTCTCTACCCCCTTCCACCAGGGAACCATGAATTCCCACCTTGGCCCCTCCACAGAGGCCAGGGCCTGTGCTTCGAGACCCAGCCCCTCCAGCTCAAGCCCCACCTACTCCTGTGCGGGGCAGCAAAGCAATGGTATTCGAGACACATGGCAATGAAATGTGATGGGACACAAACAAAGTAAAGGAGAGCTTGATTCTGTTTCACTGTGTGCAGCATTTTTATTGTGCAAGAGCCAGGAGAGGGAGGAGGAGCATGAAATGAGCAGGTACGCTGACATGAGGACAGTCAGGAATGTTTACACAGAAGGCGCAGCAGATGGTGCAGAGAGATGCAGTTCACTTTTCTGTCCTCAGAGAGTGGCTGAGAATGTGAAGGCCACCTGAACTCCCTTCCCCACAGCAGGAAGGTGAGCAGGGGCCACACTCAGATTCAGCATGCAAGGTCTGCGGTTCCTTCTGGTCCCTTCCCATTCTTCCCTTCCCCAGTTCTCCAAAAGCAAACGAGCAAAACTGGCTCCACGGGGAAAAATCCACTTAGGTAACCATGCCATTCTACCACTCAACCCACCGGACACAGTCCTGCAAGAGCCTTTCCAGCTGGGAGTGACCTCACTTCAGCCATGGAACTCGGACTTCAGGACGGACCAGTCACTATGCTGTTGTTGGTCAGTCAGTCCTCTCCTAGGAGCTGCAGGCAGGGGCGCGACATCAACTCCCCCCACCCTGAATATATCCTAATATTCCCTGGAGGGTTCAGAGGGTTACACTGAGAGATTCTGAGGGAGCACAGAAAATGTTTTGGAACAATAATGTTTTAAATATCCCTCAGGAAATCTTTAAACAATAAAGAATGAGCCACTGTGTTAGACAACACTGACAGGCAGGAGAAAGCACAAGCTTACTTGAGGACCATTAAGCTTCCAGAGAGGGCAATGATAAATATGATGGTGATGATGATGGTGGTGGTGGTGATGATAGTGATGATGATGGTGGTGGTGATGATGGTGATGATGGTGATGCTGATGATGGTGGTGATGATGATGGTGGTGGTGGTGATGATGGTGGTGATGGTGGTGATGGTGGTGATGGTGATCGTGACGACGGTGATGCTGATGATAGTGGTGATGATGGTGATGGTGATGGTGGTGATGGTGATGGTGGTGGTGATGATGACAGTGGTAATAATGGTAGTATGGTGATGATGGTGGAGATGATGATGATGGAGTTGACAATGGTGAAGATGGTGATGATGACAATACCAGCAGCAAGCATTTATTGAGCATTTATGATACGCCAGACATGGTTCTAATGACCTTACCCTTATTTCCTTATCCCTAGTCCTTGTATTTTCACTTAATATTCATAATGAAAACAGTCTTTTCCCTAAAAGTCAAGCTAGAAAATGGAATTCTACAAAGAGAATACTGGGATCTTGTAGAATAATTTATGTTCCAGCATAAATGTACACTCTATGGGTAAGTTATGTGTTTAAACTATGCCATTAAGGAATTAAGATGATGTTTAAGTACACCGCATGGTAGAGGCTATCCCTGTGGTGTAAATATGTCAATAATAGTGCCCAAATAAATACCATTTTTTATGCCATTTCAGATCCACATGGGCCTCGTGGAGCTACTGTTAGTTTGACTCATAGCAACAAAGTCACCAGGAGCAGCTGCCACCTGCTAGAGCTCTGGCCACAGCTGAGGATGCTCTAGTAAAACCTCAGAACTGGGTAGGGACCTGTGGCCCCACTGACATCAAACATGAGAGTTTCCTGGTAAATTCCAGGATCAGAGAGCAGAACCCAGTGGACCCTTTAGTAGGGGAGCAGGCAGGAGATGAGAGTGGAAAAGAGCAGATTCATGGAGCTGAGCTACAGTGAGCCCACACAGATGC